CTCTCATCTTTCTAAAACAGATTTGAGGTGAGACTAAACTGTTTATCAGAATTATCGAGGTGAGACTAAACTATTGATCAGAGTTCCTGGACAGTGGGTTGTAACTAAAGCACAACCTGACAATACCATACGTATAGAGTCTTGCTAAAAGACCAAGGGAGCCGCGGTGGCTCAAGTGGTTAAGACAGTGAACTGCAGGCTGGAAGGTTGGTAGTTCAGCAGTTCGAGACCTGAGTGCCGCATGACGGAGTGAGCTCCCATCTCTAGTTCCAGCTCCTGTCAACTTAGCAGTTTGAAAGCAAGAAATTGCAAGTAGATAAATAGGTACCGCTTTGGTGAGAAAGTAACAGCGTTCCGTGTGCCTTGGTGTTTAGTCATGCTGGTCACATGAGCACAAAAACATCTTCGGACAGTGCTGGCTCTTCGGCTTGGAAATGGAGATGAGCACCGTAACCCAAGAGTCGGATTCCGGCGGCTTGGAAACAGAGATGAGCACCGCAACCCAAGAGTCGGATTCCGACTGGCTTTCGAGCAAGGGAAACCTTTACCTTTACTAAAAGACCAAGAAGTGTCTCAATAACTTTCAAGCGGAGTTTAATCTTCTGTTCTTTGGGATCATAAAGTGTATTTCCTATCATTTTTTCAACTTGTTCACTCTATGACTTCATAAAATGATCAGGACCATTGTCTACTATAGCAGAGTCTGTCCTGGGTCTCACAGTACACATCATCTGCTCCCAGCAAATTTTAACTGAAGATATCAGATGCTTTATCACTGAGCCATTATTCCACCCGACAATCATCAATACTCCCTCAAATAATCTTCTACCTGAAAAGGTGTAAAACATAGATGCTGGTCTAAGGAGATAATCCATCTTTTTTCTGAAGGATAAGAGGACACAAAGTGTTCCGATGATGGAAAACCCAACACTGAAGATCGCAATGGCTGCTGCAGAAATGCTGTATTCTAGCAAGAAAAAAAAGGGAGGATGAGTCTCAATACAAGTTTCAGCCATGTCAATACACTATGTGACACTGTTTACTTTTAACAAATTATGGGCATCCAAAGGCTGGAGGCAGAAACATCTGTATCTGTGCTGTTAGCAGGCTATTCAGATGTTGCTTGGAGAATCCAAAACAGAAATATTGAAAGACTCATAGTAAGCAAAGATAGTGGGCTGACCAAAACAGAAAAGAACCACAGAAACTTCCTGAGAGGAAAGCTACATCTCTTGAAATATCCTCTCCTACACAACAATGAAACTATCCCCTACAATTAAAGCTTATAAAATTAAAATTGACAGAAGCCTATTATCATTGACATCTACGATGGACATCTTCAGCTACTAGATTTTTTGAGAACCCAATGAAAATGCTTGGCAGTATGTCCAGGAGGAAGCATAGAATATCACCATTCTTTTGGGAGGCTGCATAATCTATTACACATGTTCCATCGTAATAGTGGAGGACACCATACTCCTAAAAAGACTAGAAATAAAATGAGAGCGTCTCACAAGGAGCAGATTTTCCTGTCCTTCGACAAAAATGCTGACAACTCAATGAAAATTATTTTTGTTAATGGATCTGTAAGTTTTTCTTTGCATTACCATTCCTTCTCTGTTTGTTTGTTTTGTTTTGCCAAACTAGACACATGACCCCAATCACCTACAAAGGTGGAAGTGGTTTCAATTTCAATAACAAAAACTTATCTTCCAAGGCCATCTCCAACAAGCTTTGCAAAACTAGGGAAAGGGGCAATAGCAGGGCATGAGGTTATGAGGTTGTTTTTTCCCCTTAGTCTCTCTTGCGTGCACTCTTTAATAATTTGAGCAAAGCAAGGATCTTCAATTTCATGTAAATCTAAATCTCTCAATTTGAGGCTACACATTCCATAATCTGTCTTTCTAATAGTACAGTCATCAAGAATTTCAAGGTTTCTAGGTGGTGTGAAACTTTGGACTCTGAAACTCTTGTTAGAGGGTAAAGAACAGAAGGTCAATGTAGGCTGCTGTTTTCTCCCAAATACAGGAGAGGGTTGCTGAGAGGATTTGGGGATATTCTCAGTATACCCAGTTCTTCCCTGTTGCTTTTACCACAGTTATGTTTATGTCCAATTCAGAGATTAGCTAAAGGGGTGGAAATATGTTGAAATGGCCGAGGGATGTGTGGAGGTGAGCAATTAACCTACCTGATTTCCTCTTGGCAAATTTTCCCCAATTCCTGAAAGACACTATGATGATTCCCAAAGGATCCCTTTATCTTCTTCTTGGCTGGGCAGTCACTTTTCTTTCTTCTTTTTTCCTCACTCACCAACTTGTTTAAATGTATATAGGCGTATGCTGACCCGGTCTAGGGATCTCAGGGACCAACCATAATCCTTCTTTCTCCAGTGGTCCAGGGTGAGGCAGTCTCTGTGTGTGGGAGAAAGTTTCTCCCTCCTGACAGACAGGGTCACCAATTTTGTGCAAATCCTAGGGGGAGGGGCTTTCCCCTCTGAACCCAGTTTTGCGGCTCTGCCTCAAGACAGACAGCAGTCATTGGCTGTGCTCCATTTCTGAGTGGTGTGATTCCTAAATTAGTTTATTTGTAATTTCCCTTTGGTTTCTTTACCTTCTCATTCCCTTTCCTGCAACAGAGAGACCCTTCAGGGAGTGGTAAGGACCTCTCCTCTTCTTTCAGGCCAAGGTTATCTGCAGCAGAGGCCAGCAGGAGTACTTCTAAGAGGTGAGATCTCCCCACTCCAGTCCCCTGGCAGCCAGATCACTCAGCCGTGCACTCTCCAGTCCTCAGGGCTAGGAGCTTCCCCGGTCACTCTCTCCCCCACTTATAGAAGTGTTGGCAGCTCCAGAGCGCCCTCCGCACAGCTTTCAGAGGGTCACCAGGCAGGCAGAATGCACTCTCCAGTCCTCAGGGCTAGGAACTTCCCCGGTCGCTCTCTCCCCCACTTAGAGAAGTGTTGGCAGCTCCAGAGCACCCAGGCCCTCCGCGCAGCTTTCAGAGGGTCACCAGGCAGGCAGAAGACAGCAAGACATAGTTTTCCTGCTTCTCCAGCCCCAGCAGAACTATTAAAGCCCGGTAAGAAGGGACTCTTTCCAAAGCCCATCAGGCGGGTTCTGAGCAGTTTCTAGGCGGGAAATGGTGGCGAGGGTAGGCCTCTCAGAGTCAGGACAGGAAGACCTAGCATTGAGCCTCAACCTTTTCCTTCCCCCTCTGAGGCCCCAGGAACAGGGTTCCGAAGGAAGGCATGATCCAGTAGAAACCCCGACTTTGGACTTACAGGGGAAGATGCTCAGCGAAATCTCCTGATCTGGATTAAGGGGAGATGCAGAGGGAAATTAGAGATGCCATCTCCCAAGCTATTCCCAATATTAGGGACTCCATTAAGTCTCCTAGCAGGCTCAGCCACGAGTCTTCCTGCAGTTTCACGTCAGGCGGGGGGGGGATAGAAGCTCCCATTTTCCCTCCCAACCCAAAAGAAGGAAGTTAAATCACCCCACTGGGCCTACTAGAGAGACAAGCCTCATATTGGGGAATGAACATGAGGAGTCTGACTGCTCTAATTCCTCTGTAAGGAAGAGAGGGAGCCCGTTGTGAACACCATACAGACACATATTTTCCCACAGGAAGTTTTCCATAAGATTATACTAAAAGTGCTTCACATTCTGGGATTAATTCCAACCAATAGCAAAGAAGCAGAAGTTCCTGACCCCAGCAAACCTGCACGATCAGCTAGAGTATTTCCAAAACCGCAGTCTTTCTTGGCACCTGAAGAAATTTGTTGGAGGGAACTAAACAAAGTTCTATTGAGTATCCATTTGACACAGTATCTAGAACCCATTTGTCTCCTACAGTAGCCTCCCATTGATCTGCAAAAAAATGAAGACAACCTCCCATTTTTGGAGGCCCTGATATAGTTATGCTGAATGGCTCTTTTTTGGATTCTTTGGACTCTGACCTGGTGATCTTGAGGAGGAGGAATTATGCCCACTTGGATGTTTGGGCTGCCATTTCCCTTTGAATTGTCTAGGTAAATGAAAGCTTGGGGTACACTTAGGTTCACAAAAGGAGAAGTGCTTCTTGGTCTTACTGTCCTTTCTTTGGGATAGTAGCAACTTCTTTTTGTCCTTATCCTCAACCAGATATCTGTCTATGCCTTCCCCCAAATAGATGGACGCCTCTAAAGGGAATGTTCGTTACTTTGGCTTTGGACAAAGGGTATACTATGAAGCCAGGTATTCCTTCTGGCAGTTACATTGGAGGCTATTGCACTGGCTGACAGTTGAATGGCATCCAATGAGGCGTCTGTGGAGAAAGCAGCAGCCTGTGCTATATTGTTTTAGTTCATCCTTCAATTATTTAGGGATGTTAACTGTCTGCTGCCAGCAGATCTGAAGCTCAAGAAGATACTGCTCTAGCAAATAGAGAACTTGCCGTGGATGCTCTGAGGGAGGCCGAGAAAGGCGGCAGGGGGGAGGAAAGCGCTGTGCCCTGCCCACACTGGCCAGGTGCGCCGGCGGCCGCCCCCTGCCCACACTGGCCAGGTGCGCCGGCGGCCACCCCTGCCTCCACCTTCGTCCCCTCGCTTGCTCCTCCAGGCAGGAGAGGCTGAGAAAGGTGTGGGGGGAGGAAAGCGTCGCGCCCTGCCCATGCTGGCCAGGTGGCCCAGAGGCCACCTCTGCCTCCACCCCCTCACTTGCTCCTCCGGGCAGGAGAGACCGAAAAAGGCAGCAGGGGGAGGAAAGCTCCGCGCCCTGCCCACGCTGGCCAGGCATGCCGTGGCCGCCCCTGCCTCCACCTCCGCCCCCTTGCTTGCTCCTCCGGGTAGGAGAGGTTGAGGAAGGCGGGGGGGGGGGGGGGAAAGCACAGTGTAGGGGCTGAGTCTTCCCTCCCTGGGCACATGGCTTTGTCATGTCCCAGACTTAGAGACTGCCTGACCTCAGATCACTAGAGAAAGGAAGATTTCTGTCTCTTACCATGAATCTTCCTTCTCAGTAGTCCTGGGGTGGGGCAGTGACTAGTGACTTGGCTTCTGAAACAAGGAGGGTGTGCTGTATGGATAGAGGGCCTCCTCACTGTGATTTGGTCATCCTTCCACTCCCTGGGGACACTCCTGGGTATGTGTGAACATTTAGCACAGTTGTCTGGTTAGTTCTTTCTCCTAATCATTAGTTGGAGGTTCTTTCCTGTTTTGTTTTTATTAAATTTGTTAAGAGCGGCTTTACTGTTCCTGGACCAGTCTGGATTCAGAGGGAGAATCCCCTCCCCCTAGGAATCAGTGACCCTACCTGTCAGAAGGGAGGAGCTTCCTCTCAGATGTAGAGACTGCCCCAACCCTGGACCACCAAGAAGGAAGATTCACAGTAAGTGACACAACTCTTCCATTTGTCTTTATTTAATAATGGCACACAAAAGGCTGATGGTAATTCAAAACTAACAAACTGTTCTATTTAATTTATGAAGGGAAATGATCATGTTTAGGACCTAGGAGGTGAACAGGCAACAGGAATAAAGTAACCATGGTACAAATAAATTAAATCGGACCATACTAGAACTACATACTTAGTCAATATCTCTAAACACGTACTTAAAGCGTCCTTTACCTCTCTACGGTTTCAATCAATGCCAATGGCAATTTTGGAGGGCCGATTTAATCAAACTCCATTGGTCCATTGTCTATGTATTTGTGGCACCTATGAACTTGAGAATTTACCTCACTATAACGTCTTTTGCCACTGTATTCTAGTCCAAGGGCTAAATTTTAGCACATATTTTATCTGGTCTTAGTGCTTACCCAGTTGAGGATAACATTTCATTTTTGTTATCTGACATTGATGCATATGTCTCTTATAAAGTTTCATTATTTGCCCTTGCTGCAAAGAATATACGTTCCAAGGTGACAACAGGAAGGGGCATTATTCAGGCTACTGCATTAAATTAGTCATGTTTTGTTATTGATTTCTAGTACTTTTGTATATTCTGATATTAACCTATAGTTTGTTCACAATTTGTATTTTGTAATCTTGTAACGGCCAATGGCTAATTACAATAAACTAAACTGAAACTGAATTGTGTAAATATAAAAATTGATAGTTTGTTACAAACAGGTAGCTGTTTATACAGACAGGTCTTTAAACACTGAGGAGAGAGATTTCTTGGCAGTCTCTGCTTAAATAAATAAGCATAAGTTTCTTTGTCTCAAAGACACTTAAGTTGGTGAAGGCAGGAACATTCACATAAGCTCCAATTTCTCTTCTTTACCACTTAATAGGCATTACCCCCCTTTACTCAGAGCTATTTCCCTCAGACTGAATAGAGATCAACCCTCTTTTCTAGGAACTATTTCCCTCAGGCTTGAATGGAGACCTTTCTTGATTCTCTATTAACCTTCCTTCCCAGTCAACTGTCATTTCTTAACTGCCACTCCTAACTGCCACTCTCAACTGTAGAATTCTGTTTGAATCCCCTATCACTCAAGGTTCTCAGACCGGGTTAAAACATTAACCATTTACTGTCCATCACAGACATACTCAGAATACATTTCTCTGTCATTTTCTATGATTGAGTCATCAGATGTAAAACTGACACCCATATTTCTTCTCAGCTGTTTGAAATGGATACATTCCCCACATATCAGGATGTTTTTTTAAGGATTCTTCTACGCAACCTGCAAATTATGTGGGGATAGGTTCTTGTGATCATGAGCAATGTAACCTACAATATCAGTTGGCCCAAATTATCTACCCTCTGATTTTCTAAAACATGCATTGTATTGAGTTGTGTGTAATAAATTAACAACTACTTATGAATGACAAACTCTATGGAAGATTCTGGGGGAAATAAATATATATTTCCCTGAAAATATGCAAAACTCATTTTTAAATCCTGACATTGTTTTTTAAAATGGCTGTCTGGCTAATTGCTTGATGTCGATTGATGGGAAGGTGTGGAAATTACAATTCACCTCTCTAGGATGTTGCCAAGTTACAGACTTATCGGCAATTCCTAAAGAATACTGTACTTTAAGTTTCTTAAAAACAAATAAGAGCTGAGCTTGTCCTTTCACTGTGGTTTGTCTTTGGTGTAACTCAGATTTCTTTAACGATGGGCACAAACACACTACGTCAGGTTGTGCAGTCCACTTATGATGACCCCGCTGTACAGTTTTCAAGACAAAAAATATTTAGGTGGTTTGCCATTGTTTCATTTTGCATAGCAACCCGAATATTGCTTGGTAGTCTCTCCTTGATAGTCTCCCATCCAGTGCTGACTCTGCTTAGCAGCCAAGATCTGATATTGTGCTATCCTGGGCATTTCACGTGAGGAAATGACACTTAATGCATTAAAAAAAAAAACAGGTTTCAAAAACTGCATTAAAGTTGCTTGAAAATAGCAAAGGTGTGTCCCAAGAAACTCAATAAAGTCCATGATAAGGGATCTCATTAATAAACAGTAAAGCTGATGCTCCTCATTCATCACTGCAGGCTGGGCTGTGACCAGAAATTATTAATAATCACTCAGTCGTTAATGGAAAACTTGTGAACTCTACTAGTGAAAAGGAAACCAGCTCAGAGTTCCCAAAAGCCTAGCCAAATTAAATCTGCCCTGGGTTATGCTAGTCTCATCTCGGTTGTTATTTAATAATGTCACTCAAATATAATCCTTGAAAACTTTTTAGCTTCTTAGCATGTCGTTGTGAGTCACAGCAAATCCACTGTTAAACGCCTGTCAAGACATATGGTCCAACCCATCTTAAAAATTCTTACCTCTCTGTGTTGTTACTTCAAATATTTCTGTGCTCTCTCCTGGGGCAAAGTGTTTGAAGTAGGAACAGTTGCGTTCTAAAAAAAAAAGACATTGTATAAAGTTTAGGTACCAAGTTGGAATCAAGTTGAGGGTAGTTTCTTTGTTTTAGAAAAGATTTGGGATTATTGTGCTTTCACCAACAAGATTCTTTTTTTCATGTATGCCTAGACAAACAAGAATTTCTTGCTGGCAAATGAAACAGGGTGGCAGAAATCACCCAACCATTGTGGATGGGATGAACTCATACACACACAGAGAGAGAGAGAGAAACATATCTGGAAAACTATGTATTGTAAATTTATATACATAACTACTTATTTTCACTGAAATGGTAGATTTGCACTGGAATAGGAAAGAAATAACATAGTAAGCAAATAATACAACCCCCCCAATCTAATTTACCTATCGCTAAGCAATTCCTATGCTTACAGCACCAGTTGTTGTTGTTCAGTCGCATAGTCGAGTCCGACTCTTCGCGACCCCATGGACCAGATCATGCCAGGCCTTCCGGTTTTCCGCCGTCCTCTGAAGTTTGCTCAGTTTCATGTTCGTTGCATCTATGACATTGTCTAACCATCTCATCCTCTGCCGTCCCTGTCTTCTTTGACCTTCAATCTTTCCCAGCATCAGGGTCGTCTCCAGTGAGTGCTCCCTTCTCATTTGGTGGCCAAAGTATTTGAGCTTCAGTTTCATTAACTGGCCTTCCAGGGAACAGTCAGGGGTGATTTCTTTTAGGATTGACTGATTTGATCTTCTTGCAGTCCAAGGGACTCTCAAGAGTCTTCTCCAGCACCATAGTTCAAAAGAATCTATTCTTCGGCGCTCAGCCTTCCTTATAGTCCAACTCTCGCAGCCATACATGACTACTGGGAATACCATTGCTTTGACTATGCGGACTTTTGTTGGCAGGGTGATGTCTCTACTTTTTATCCTGCTGTTTAGGTTCGCCATCGCTTTCCTCCCAAGGAGCAGGCGTCTTTTAATTTCATGGCTGCTGTCACAGTCTGCGGTGATCTGGGATCCCAGGAACGTGAAGTCTGTCACTACTTCCACGACTTCACCAGTACCTGTATACATATGATGAAGTGGCACCTGAATACATGGTGAAAGATTCTATCTCCCTAAGTAGAGATGGTTGTTCAAGTAGGCATTTGTATAATTGATGGCATGAATAGTCACATAGGTTATATTGCAGTAACAGAACACCCTTTATAGCTTCAATGGTAAATCTGTTCCTTTCATCTGTCCACTGGGCATTCATTAAAAAAAAATTCTCTTAACATTTGCATTATGTCCTGGAATGCAGAAGAAAAATTGCACTGTTTTAAGCAACTCAGAATGGCAGTCTGCATTGCAGCATTTTTGAAAATATTTAACCTACTTGTCTCTAACTGGTGCACTTTTGAAGTCTTCATCTATTTGAGCACTTTCAACTAAAGTCTTCAGGTTACAGAATTGATCAAAACATTCTACATCATCCTCCATCACAATTCGATCTTTCAAGTATTTTATGGTATGCTGAACATAATCAATTGAAAGGGTATCCAATGAAAACAATCATTAAAAGAAACTGTCAATTTCTGCAGTTTCCAAACACACTTCGTACAAGAAGCTTCTTCCACAAAGAGACCAACTTATTTCCTTCCTTTGCGTCCTTTCCTTCCATCTTTCTTTCCTTTGCTTAGGATCTCTTTTGTTTTCAGTGAAAGAAAGGCTGCTTCCATTCTATGTTGCAACATTTGACAAACTGAAACCTCCACATTTGATTTCCTCCCTCTTTATTTCTGGGATTTTTGTATGGAATATTGGCATTAAGGAATCTAAGTACAGAGATATGCTTCTCCTAAGTAATTTTCAAAGTATTTCTTCAGTATGGCTGGTGGATTGGTTTGAAACAAAACAAAAAAATTCACACCAGGAAACATGCAGTGACTGTTCTATGGCAGGAAAGAGGGATAGCCATCTTGTTCTGCTGTGTTACAATAACTGTACGTAATCTATACCAATGAATTCACAGTAACTCTTTGAGATTTTCTGTTCTTACTGTACATATGAAGAAATAATTGTAAATCTTCATTATTATACATTCTATGTCTCTAGACTATGTGTCTGCCCCATGCTGTATACAGTCATGAGGGATGCGTTCTGGACAACCAACACCAACTAATTATCTTTAATTCATGTTTCAAGGCATGGAAGACATTTTTGCTTCCAGAGCAATTGATTCCTCCAAAATTAATGTTCATGTTGTCACCAGGGAATGCAACACACTTTGTAAGGAAGCCATGGTCTTTTAATGCTTGTGTAACATAGTCCACTATAGTTTCCAGTTTTTTATTTTGGCATGCTATTCAGCTGTATCAATTTTGATTTAATACCATGAACTTTACAAAAATATCGCATCGCATCAGGAAATACTTTTGTGACCCATGGTTGCTGCCATCTGGCCTTCAGCTCAATGGGTGGGTTCTCTGCCATTACTAAGGGGAGGGGAATACATGTCAAGGACATGTAGCAAAGCAGTCCACAGACCTAAGACAATGCAATAAGAAGTCCTCTTCAAAATGCATACTAGGAAATAGTGCTGGTGGCAAAACTAAAGCTTCTCTCCACTGGGTGACTGCAGGCTCTGCCTCCCAACAAAAAACAAGGATATTTTTTGAAAAGTACTGGGTTCGCCGCATGGAGGACTCGGACGACGACATACTGTAGCATGCGTTTATTGTACTTCACACAAACAAAGTCTAACTCTAACAGCCAACAGGGCCAACTATATACATATCCACCAGCAACCCCCCCCCACTCCCATTGGAGGGTTTGAATGTCCCGCCAAGGTGGCTATTGGTTGGGACTGGGGGATCCAGGATCCGAAGTTTCCATTGTTCTCGGATCCAAGCTCTGGCTTTTCCGCGGACCCCTGGTGGCGGTCCACGTACATAACACTTTTCATCAAATTTTAAAACAGAGCCCAAAAGAGGACATCTGGTCACCTTATTCATGGTGATTCAAAACTCTCTCTCCCCCCCCCCACGAGTTTCCACAGTGTCTCTTAGGTTGATACTGCTTAGTATCTGCCTTCTCTACTTTCTAGGAATTTGCTTGGATGCCTGGAGGGTGAACTAGAGGCTTCCTATCACAGTGTATGACCAGTATCAGATTCAATAAACCAACTCCTTTCATTGTGAAGTTCTTGAAAGCAAGTGTAAGAGATCAGCTCCTCCAGCTTGCAAGACAGAAAAAATATCTTTGTTGAGGTCCTAAGAGAAATAATTTCTCACTGGTCTGCAAGATCTATGCCTCTCTACTTCATGTCCTTTAAGACTATGTTTCAGAGAAATGCAGAAAACTGCTTGTTAGGATAATTTAAAGAATATCACACTGTCCACTGTTCTATTAACCAGCTTGGTATAGAGTTGAGAATTTTTTTTCTAGATTCCAGTATTATTTGGGCCTATAACATTATGGGCACATTGCCCTATTTTTCTCTTTTTCTTTTATCCTCTCTATTTACTTTTTGAAGGTTTAAAAAAACATTTCTGTAACCCTTACCCCTTTTGTTTTAATCTGTCATTATTGAAATTAGTTCATACAAGAAGCGGGGACCTGCGATACTCGCGGAGGGGGGAGAAGGAGCTCCACATGGAGGGGGAGGAGGAAGCAGCCACAGGTGAGCCTTCTCCCCTTCTCCCCTGCCCCCTGGCACCAATGGTGAGGCTCGGGGGGAGGGAGAAGGCCCAGCGGGCCGGTGGGTGTGAGCCGTTCAGGGCTCACTGCCACTGGGGGAGAGGGAGAAGGCCCAGCGGGCCCGGCGACTGGGATCTGCTCAGGCCTCACCACCCATGCCCAGGGGAGAAGGATTGGTGGTCCCAGCGGCTGGGAGCTGTGTGGGCCTCGCCATCATGCCGGAGGGTTGGGGCAGTGTTCCCTCTAAGCTGAGATTGTGTGAGTTAGCTCAGTTTTTTAGCCTCCAGCTCACATATTTTTGTCTTAGCTCAGGAAGGATGGTCCAGAACAAACTAATTTATGCAGTAGGCAAATTGCTCACTCACAACTTTAATGCCAGCTCACAAAGTAGAATTTTTGCTCACAAGACTCTACAGCTTAGAGGGAACATTGGTTGGGGGAGAATTGGCGGGTCTGGGGGAGGAGGATTGGCAGGCCCAGTGGCTAAGAGATGCATGGGCCTCACCGTCGGTGCAGGGCGGTGGGGGAGGATTGATGGGCCTGGGTCTCGCCGTCGGTGCAGGGGGTCAGGGGAGAAGGATTGGCAGACCCGAGAATCCTCTGCTTCCGTGGTGTTGTAATCAGAGTGGATAATTTTATAATCAGCCCACGACACTTGACGAGTAGTGTTTTCATAAAATAAGAGCGGTATTTGTATACTTTGTTATGAACGTAGTCATGGTTATCTCGTTCATATTTTTAAATTTTATTATCTTTAGTTTTCTTCTCAAATGCCTTAAGTTCTTCTTCTAAAGTTTTAATACAACTACTAAAGTCATTGGGAGACATGGTATTCTTAAATTTATCCTCCCGAGCACTTACAGCACAGGAAACACGCATTCTTAACTTAGGTTTGGGCTTTGTTCCTACGCCAAAATACAACCCATTTCAGACTAGGACAGATCTTTTCAAATTAATTAGATCACTTAAATTTAAAAAGTTATTTAGTAATAATAACAGTATGGAATATAATCCATTCAAGCCCAAAACGCAGTTTGTACCCAACATTTCTGTTCCTTCTATTACTGTTTTTGAACAGCTTGTTCTTGAAGGTTTTGAGACTTTGGAGACTTCTAGTTAAGTATAATAAGTATAACCTTGGATGAAGAAGGAGATGTTGCAGCATTTAACTAATGATGATAATATCATCATTAAACAAGCAGACAAGGTGGGAGGCATTGTTATTTTAGATAAGTGTGACTACTTAACAATAGCTAATAGCCTCCTACAGGATGCTGATTTCCAGGGGTCATTTTGTAGAAAAAGAGGTGCAGGAGGTCATTTGCATTACTCATTAGCATAACTTATTTAC